CCCGATTTATGGCTGGGCGGGCTTGGGGCCCAGGAAACCTCCAGGCCGGAACTTAGAGTGTACTCCGTTGCAGGTAGAGGTGCACCCACCTCGCGTGAAACAGCTCCTGGCCCTGTGCGGTGGCGCGTTCTCTCGGCAGCAGCTCTGCAACCTTGAGTGCATCGTGTTACACAAACTGCACTTCAGCCTGGGCGCGCCCACCATCAACTTCTTCCTGGAGCACTTCACTCACGCTCGCGTGGAGGCGGGGCAGGCTGACGTCACCCGGGCCTTGGAGGCGCAAACCCTGGCTCGGGGCGTGGCGGAGCTGAGCCTGGCCGATTACGCTTTCACCAACTACACACCTTCCCTGCTGGCCATCTGCTGCCTGGCGCTAGCCGACCGCATGCTCCAGCTCCCTCACCCGCTGGATCTCCGCCTGGGAGAGCACCCAGAGGCCGCACTGCAAGACTGCCTGGGCAAGCTGCAGATGCTGGTGTCCATCAACAGCACCTCCCTGCCTCACATACTGCCTCTCCAGATCTGGGAGAAGTGCAGGCTGCCCCAGAGTTGGAAATAAAAAGCACACCCTTGGGTTTCTTTTTATTCCCCTGGCCCTGGCTCTGTGCCTTCAGGAGAGTGTGCAGTATTAATCCAAAGAGAAGTTCAGGACCCCTGCTTGTAAATAGTGTACAATAGTGGGATCTATTTATTTTTTTTTCAGTACACAAGGGCAGGTTGACAGTCCTGGCTTGTCTAAATGCTGCTGTTGTCCGGTCTGCCCTTCACAGGTGATTGGTCAGTCAAGATGGTCAGTCAAAATTGCCAATTTCAGAGTCTCTCCTTGCTCCTGACGTTTTTTTTACTCTGTAGTTAGCAGCTCTGTGAACACAAGCCAGCAAGATTTTATATGCCACTGTTCCAGTAATCAGACAAGTCAAGGTTGCTTGTCTGTATCTTAACCCCCTCCAGTCTGGAGGCCGTGTCCCCTCCCCCACACCAGTGGCCCAAGGAGTGTGAGACAGAAGTCATTGTAGACTGTGTTGACCAGAAGGTCCGCTCGCTGATATGGATCTGGGAAGCTTGGGGGACCAGGTAGGCATACCAGCAAGAGACATCCCTGGTGCACCCCAAGAGATGTTGGAAAGGAAAGTTTGTGCATCCTCTTACAGCTGTTGCAACCTGGGCTATTTTTCCCCTGCAGTCACATGCATGGTTCAGTTCACACTGCTGCACAAGCTCAGGGTACCAACTGCGGCGGCGGCGACAGTAATAAAGAATATATTGACTATTTGCAACGTATCCTGCATGTGTTTAACATTTATTTCACTCCTCGACAATGCTACTGAAGCAGTCTTCTCCCACTTTGCAGACATCAGGACACAGGCAATGTGATGCATGAGTCTTAGCGCTTAGCCACACTGCTAAGCTGCTACCGTTTATGTTACTGGATTCTTCTAAAGCCCTCTTTCTGTGGTAGACACCTCATTCTCCTTTAGTGCTCCTGGACTCCGCACTCGGTTTTGTCTTTGCTCCTAGCCTTGCTACAGGACTCATTTTCCAGATGGGAGACTCGGTTGGGAAGTGGGACGCTTCCTGGGCTGCTGTGGCTCTGTCGTGGCTGCATTAACGACTCTGTTGTTAGTCAGCTGTAGGCCCTGCCCCTCGGCTCCACCACCTGCAGCCAAGTCTCCAACTCCAGTGGACCTCAGGGTTAAGTTTAAATGAGATTGTTTCTGGGGTGGGGGGGGGGGTAGAGCAGTGATTAAACGGGTAGCTGTGGAGCCAATTTGCTAGGAGACCTTAGGCCCACTTCTTGTCTCTAAAAAACGGGATAATAGCCCCCATCTTAGGGCTGCAGCGTGGCTATGCCAAGATGATCACATACCCCCATTCCTAGCACAGAGAACCCTCAAGAATCGACAGTGGTAGCCTGCACAGTGACGGGAGGAGAGAGGTTTTGCCGGAAAATGAAAACTTAAATTAGGGTGAACATAGGGTTCATTGTGTTGTGAGTTTTTTTCTTTTTTCTCTCAACGTTCTTTTGTATGATTGAAAAATTTTAAGTTGTGGGTAAGAAATCCCAGTTTGTGCCTCTGCATTTAGAGTAAGTCGGAATGTATGCTAAAAAAAAAAAAAATGCAAACCAAAAAATTTAGAGTCTTTGCCTTCCTCCACCACAGACAGCCCTCTGGGAGCCGGGTCCCTTGCCTACACTGGGTCCCTCAGGCCCCTCCTCTCCGGATAGGCTAAGCTGGTAGAGCTCTCTCCTTGGGAACAGCTGCTGTGTGATGGTCCAAGAAGGGATGAGGACCCAGTCACCTGTCTAACTCAACCATCTGGGGCCCTCAGCTGAGGTGACAAGGGGACCCCCCTTGAGATCTGGCCCTCCTGAAAAGAAGTGGCCCTTGGGGGGTTGTTAGCTTTACTAGTGTCTAGCAGTCCAGTCCCCTCTGACATTTCCGCACCTGTCTCCTAAATTTTCCACAGCTAGGGAACAGAGCCAGGAACAGGCGATGGGAAGCTGGAAGTTTAGTTGGAAAGGCTGCTTTAAAAAAAAAAAAGAAAGAAAAAAAAAACCCTAATTTGTCTAAGCAGCCACTGTGCATACATCAAGCCGACTCCTCTTCCCAACTCTGCTGGGGGGTGAGGGTGTTGGCTCTTCTTAAAGGCATGTCTGGTCTGGTGGGGTCTAATCCCCATCCTTCCCATTCTCACACTGAGGCCAGCGCTTCCTCCCCACCCCCACAACCCCACCGGCTCAGATCCAGTAAATAGATGTTTTAAAGTTCACTCACCATCATCCCCCACTGTTGGGAATAGCTTGGTTTTTAATTCAGCTAATGGGTGCAAATAAAAGACCCTTCACTTGTGTTATTAGATGCAAGGCAAGAGCAAGCTGTCCGCAGAAAGGCAGACTCCTATTTCTGACACTTGTTTACCTTGAACTGATCCGGGTGGTCCAGAAGAAGGTCCCCTCACCCAAAGATGCTCCCTTCTGAGAGATGTCTCTTTCTAGTAGATTCAAATTCTGGAAGATGCTTCTTCCAGGGAGAGGCCTGACTTGAAGAGATCTGTGGAACTGCAGCTGTAAAGGGCACAGCCAAATGCTAGGACAGCAGGCTGAAGCCACCTGGGTTTTAGGGGATTTGGAGATGCCCACAGTAGGGGTTTTCAGAAACTGGAATAAATGTCATTCGCCGTCCCCGTCCCCTGTCCCCCGCCCCCGCGGCAGTCTTTTAGCTCAGACAGGCCTATGAGCCAGTGTGTAGCCCAAGCTGGTCTCAAACTCATGGCAATTCTCCTGCCTCAGCATTGTCACTTTTCTTGATTCTTAAAAAAATATGCTTAGGCACCATTTCCGGGAAAGTTGCAAGTCTCGAGGACAGAGCGGAGCTCTTGACAGTAGGCAAGAATAAGAGGCCAAATGAAAGCCATATGCCAAAATCCAGAATGTTCAGATTTGAGGGCAGTTTCTGTAATCTGGAGGCTGGCCT